GCAAGTGCCCACACCTAGACACACACCACTTCTCTGTGGTGGCATTCTTAATTCATGAGGTGCAGCTTTTCTCCCACACGAGGTTTCTGGAACCATGACCATTCATAAAGATCATTAAACATTAAGGAATGAAGAGACCCATATCCTTGTAGGCATTTATTATCATTTTGGTTTCAACAATATTGTGCATACGTTGTGTTCACGTCAGGAAAAGGCCTTCTGTAGCGTTAGCTGGTGTTAGATATCAGACAGAAGGTGGCCTTCACAGGTGATGTGCTCCCATTCCTCAGAAAGATAATGTTCTGGAAGAAGCTTTGCTCAGTCTTCCAGCTGCAGTGCCACTGCAATCATGCAATACTTCCAAGGATTGGAATACTGTGGGAACACATGTTAAAATGCTTATGGGAATGTCATATAAATGTCACTTACTGAAAGCAATTAATCAATTCCTTTTACATGTGCTGGAAAGGAGCACGGTAAAAGAGAAATTCAGCCCATCATGGACAACACAACTAAGACATACTATTTTAACAAACTAGAGAACTCATCCAAGTCTTCTCCCCTGTCATGGTGTACAGTTTTGGTGGTGGTTTTTTATCTAGCATGCACATTAAAAAGGAACAGAAACAAAACAAAAAAATGCAAACCCTCAAGGTCAGTCAGTCCAAATAATAAGAGGAAATACAAATGCATTTTTATACATAAACAGAAAAGGAGCGGGCAAGCTCTTTCTCATTATGCCAAATAGCAGTCTGGCTATGATTTAATGCATTTGAAATTAAGTCTGTCTCTTCAGCTGTACATTTTTTACTAGGTCTGCAGAACAGACTGGCAGACAGTGTGAGCAGATGCTTCTGGTTGGATCAGGCATAGGAGATGAAGGATAAGTTTCTTTATGCTGGCTTTTTAGTCTGGTAACATCCTTTGAATTTCTGTGCAGGACAACAGCAGCAGCGAGCTTTAGGTGTTTTCCAGATGAGGTGTTGGACCAAATGAGTCTACTGGTGTATCATCATAGGGAGTCTGTAAAGGCAGCTTCTCTTTAAAGATCTCTGCTACTGCATAGGTAAAGAAAAATTATGACTCCATAGGACTTTAATCTCTTTCTCTTTCTTTCCATCTCTTCATGGCCCCTTAAAAAAATGTCAGACCCAACAGCTGGTCCTTTTTGGATTAATAGTATGTGAAATCAACAGCTTATTTCATAAATAACCCAAAGAAAAGGAGATTGTGATTTTTATTTTTTTTTTCTTCAGTTACAGAAGTAGTAACCAACTTTCGCCTCCTGCTGTTTTATGTGTATGGGTTTTCCTGGATAGTTCTAGTGGAAAGATGTTCATCATCCTGAAGAGTATGGAAAACATATCTTGCAGCCAGCCATTACGAACCGGCATCCATCTTACTACAATATATACCAATGAATAAGGGCCTCCAGAATAACATGAGATACAGTCTAATCAAAAACACGTTTGGGATCATGCTGAGTATCGTTGACTGAAAATATTGGAGGTATGATTTATTATTGTTGATGTGTATGGCTCAATAGCTTAAATTTTTGCTTTAAAACAGAAAATAATCTACAGTCTCTGAAAAGTGATTATGCTTATTTAAAAATCAAAATAAATTGCATTTGGTGGAAAGGAGCAAGGAGTTAAAGAAAAAACAAAAGAAAAATGCCCTGCTTGATAGTTATTGATATGCATGATTTTTCTTTGTTCCCCTTTTTTGTTTCTTTTTTTTTTTTCCTTTCTACTTAGAAGCTTTGTTATCTGGATCTTTAGTTCTTCCTGCTTCTTTCATATCTTAGCTGCTCTTTCAGCAAAAGTTTATGGCCTGAAAGCCAATTGCCTTTTTCTTCTTTAATTATGGAAGCTGAAGGCCACTTTGTCTGCCCTGAGTGCTTAATTGAAGGAGGACCGTGCATGCTTTTTTGTTCCTGCCTAGCTTGCCAAGAGTATGGTGCGCTGCATAGAAGGGACAACAGCTTCTTTGGTGATTTCTTTTTAACTGGCATCCTGGAGCAAGGGGGGAGCCAACAAGGAGATTATAGTACTCTGTCCCTTATTTAGGCAGAATTGTGATGGCCTAATCTAGATTAAGTGTATGTGAAATGTCCTTCAGTTTTCCTTTTACATTGGCAAATGATATGTAAAGTATTTTTTTGGTTGTTTTTAAAGCAGGGCATTTAACATCTCCTGCATCTCCTTTTCTTTTCCTTACAAAAAGAGGATAGGGTTTTTATTCACAAAGAAATGCTCTACTTTCTACCCTTTTGTCACTAAGTAGTATTTTGAATTTATTTTGAAAGAAATGAATGTATGGTCACTGCGAGCTGGTTGATAGGCCTTTTATATGCCATCCCTATGAATCAGCCAGAATGTGACTTTGAACAATAATTATTTCTGTTCAAGTTCTAGTGTTTATTTGCCCTTGTTTAATGTATTTGCTGAATTTGATATCTGAGTCATTGTTTTATAAAAGGTATGTCTTTAAATAAAATCACTAAATACACTGATAAGATTTCTAAGCAGAGAAATGTATTTGTATTGCTCCTATAGTATTTATGCTAAAATGACAATCAGACACTCCAGTTCCACCCTAAGATACTTGCTAAAATCGTAGTGGCATCGAGCTTGGCTCTGAATTTTCAGACCATGCATATCTTGTGAATGAGTCATGAAGGGTGAACTATCATATATCAAAGCTTAATTATTGCATAAGTTTATCCTTCAACCATTCTCCTCTGATCTTCTCATACCAAAAGTCAGATATTTCTTGTTGTGATGCATTTTATTTTCCCAGGAACAAATCCAGTGATGCCAAAGGAAGCTGTAGTTGCACTTTAGTGGCAGAATATAAAAAGGAATGTGATAATTAAGTTTTGTTATGAATATTGGTTATAAATTATGTTGTCTCATGTAAGCACTTGGGGCTTCTGTTGTCTTTTTCTTCCTACTGCATCATTTTTTCACAATATTGGAAGCTTGGCCGCGTGCAGAGATTTTCTTATCTAAGGATACCAGCTGTTTACTGGAGGTTGAAACTAGTTGTTCCTTTCTCAATCAATGTCTGTCACAAGGAGACAAAAATGTGTATATGACTTACATGATTTGTTTTCATAATGACGAATGTAGTTCCGTTAGGAAATTGATTATAAAAATAGAAACCAGGCTTTGAAAAGCAATTTGAAGATACGGTGTAGATCTGTTATGATCACTTTAAGGCTAATGAGTATACTTCACTTACGTAGTTAATCTTTTCAGTGTCTAGCAACAATGTTAATGTGGGAAGCCAATGTTGAGAGTAGGATGCACACTTTGCTGATATGCACTCAAATTATATGCTAACTATTTAATGCATTATTTCCATGGAATGAGTACATAGAATGCAAATGTAATATAAAGCTGAGGCATTAATCTTCTTCAGAATATACAAGTATCAGCACAGAAGTGCAGTAATCTCATTTAGGCTTTTTTTCGAGTAATGTTGAGAGAAGATTTTGAATCATTACTGGTTTAGAGACATAAGCAACAGTTTGAGTCAGGCTCTGTCAGACTCGGAAAAAATGAACCACGTTTCAAATTATAGCCTTGAAATATCACAAAGTGTAGGTTAGAAGAGATCTTCCTTGTATTGAGGGAATACTGTCTTAGTATGACCCAGACAGGGACTGAGCACCGTGTCATGCTGTTCCTTCCCTCCTTCCAGTGGTCAGTGTTGCTCCCTGTTACTCTGTATTGACTCTGACCAAAATAAGGGATCAATCCTCTGTGGAGTTATGGAAGATCCCTCTGCCTCCTGATATCAGCAAACTACCTGATGTTTATTTTACAAACTCTATGAACTTTGCCTAGGCAGGCCAGTTATTTCAAATTCTCTTAAAGCTTTGATTATGTTTTCAGTACCCTGCTGCTGTCTTTCATAGTGCTTCCACCAAACGAGGCAACAGAGCAGGTGTCAGTTAAAAAAATGTATATGAGAAAATTAAAATGATCTTGGTCTTAAATTATGTTAATTTGCCTTTTAGCATGCTAGAATTGTAAACTTTCAAGTTTTCTTCATTCAGTACGGCCTTTATACAAGATCATCTGTGGTTATTTTGCTCTCCTGACAAATGTAAGAGGGAGGCAAGAGACACAATGACAGCAGCCCTAAGGAGGTGGCAAGTAAATTTTAGCATGCTTCCTTCCTGTGATTTGATTTAATCAAAACCAGTATGTAAATACGTATGCTTTTGCTTTGAGCTTTATTAGTCCATGCAAAACGTTGCCATTTCATCACTTTACTTTGCCTGACATATTTAGTAAATAAGACAACAACTCAATAAATTTAAGTCATAGTAAATGAGGTTTTCCATATCTTTAGCAGAAGAAAGCATAGATTATTAAAAGATATAATTTTCTTTAGGAAAAAAACCCAGACTACACCTTCTTGATTCTAAATCCTAAGCGCGTGTGAATAAATTGAAAGAAATACCACTTTACCTTAGCTGAGAAAACCAACAGAATGTCAATAGATTCTTTGCAGGTTAAGTCTCTTTCATTTTAAGAAGACTCCAAGGCTTTGTCTAGTCTTCACACTTCTCAGGTAGTGCAATCCCAACTTTCAAGGCACTATTTTGAGATGCTTGGATACTGTGCAACCTGGACTTGTAAGACCTGAGATACCTTGTGTATTTGAGGGATATTTGTTTATTTCCAATTCTAGTAGTCCTGTTTTGCCAGGCTGAGTATAAGATTGCTTTGGGAGATGGGGGTGGCTGAAAGCAGAGTTAGAGATGATTGCTGATGTTTTCTGAAACTCTAGTTCTTGCAATTTTTCTGCAAAATGATGCCTCCAAAACATGTTGGAGAATTTAGCTAATCTTACTATGTTTAGCTTTGCATGCAAGTGGAGATCTGGTTATGTATAAAAGAACTTAAACAGAGTTGTCATACTAACATTTAAATCTTTTCTTTCCAGCACAGCACCACTGTGGGTGTGTTACATAAATTGCCACAATGGAGTGTTTTTCAGATTCTTCAGCTGAGAGGCCATCTGTCATTGAAAGTGGCACATTCACCTGCTCATCACTTCTGCAGCAGTCTGTGTGCTAGACAGGGTACATCCAGATGAAGTTAACAACAGGAGCAGCTCTTCATACAGCTGAGTTTGGAAAGACTTAGTAATCAAGTCACTCCTTCAGATGGGAGCAAACACCGCAAATAGATCGCTCTTTCTATCCAAGAGAACAGCAAGTGCTTTCCGCTTTGCTTCAGAAAAGAGCAAACTAGTTCCCTGAGGGATGTTTTTCTACTCAGTAGAATCCAGCATTGCCTCCGTGGGCACTTGTCTACCATTCCTGACCTGCAGGTAATCACAGAACCCTAATAATAAAATTGTCCTCGAGCTCTCAGATAGATCTAGACAGGATTCAGCATTTTCATAATTATAAAGACTTTTTTTTATGTCTCCCCAGTTCCCTTCCACTTTGTATTTCCTTGAACTTGAGGAAGTGGAAGTAGGCCAGGTCATGCTGTTTACCACTTCTAATACTATTTCTCCGGAGTGTTTTTTTTGGCCTGAGAATATGTTCATATTTCTGTATTTGTCTAACTTTTCCTTGTTCCATGTTTAATGCAGACTGTTTAAGTTGTTGAAGGAGAAACTTGACAGTGTGGATGTGTGCTGACAATTTGCTCAAAGAATTCCAACTATGGGTCAGAGATTTTTCTCTTTAATCAGTGACAATATACATAACCTTTCTGTCTACTCAAAATGTTCTTGTCTGTAAAATGAGGTTTTACTTGCCTGCCTCACAGGCATGTTGAAGCTTAATTAGTAGGTAATAAATGCTGAGTATTATTTTAAAAGATCTGTTGCATTCTAAAATGACCAAGTTTGGATCTTAATTCGCAGCTTTATGGGGTAAGGTTCAGTATTGGTTACCTTAGATTTTCCCGAAGCCTCTCCTGAATTTAATAAGGGATTTAACAGAGTACTTCTTGAAAACACTTATGATTCATCCTAATAAAAAGCTAACTTGTACTTGCATAAAACTAGTAGAGCTCTGCACATAATCAATCAGAGTTTTCTTGAATGATATAGTCTTTGAAATGCAAATGTTGTACAGGTCTTCCCCTTCTGAAGAATACATGCTTGTTATTGTGTTAACATATGTAAAATATTTTTTTCAGATATTTTCTTAAATTATTTTCTTCAGGCTCCAGTATAAATCACACTCATTGGGCATTCTTTCAACATTTCATATGTAAAAACAAATACGCAGTAAAAATGTATTCAGTTTTTCTAGGATGAGAGCACAAAGAGTAAAATGTTAGGTTTTGGAGTGCCTGGCTTTGTGCCACATCATTTTTAATCTGATTGGTATCAATCATAAAAGACTAGGTCCAAGATCCCTTTTTCAGCATTCCTTGAAACATGACCATTGCAGTTCTTTGTTTTCTCTTCTTGTTTGAGACCTGCTTTTTTTTTTTTTAAATTAAGAGATATTACTGAAAAATTTCATCACTAGAATTATAAGATGCAGCATAGAAACAAGGAATAATATGTGTTCTGCAAAGTTTAGAGGACTCCAGAAGGAGCTTGACACCAGAAACTGCAGATAATTTATCTATGTTTACTGTAAAGTTAGCCATGTCTCTGTGATTTTCCTTTTTCTCTAAATACTGTTCTTGTACTTCTTCTTGAGGCCACTTCTTGCTATTATGGTATGTAATTAAAATGAACCTTACTTCAGTCAGGGATTCCAAGCAAGTTCCTATCATGGAGTCTTCCAATCTAAAGGTTGCCTAAAGCTCCAAGGTGCAGTTGAAAGAGTCATTCTTTTGCTGCAATATAAGCTTCTTTGGTAGTGTTAAAAGTCATCTCTGTAGGACACAGGACCATGTCAAGATTCTGGGATTCTCCCAGGAGCTAAGAATCATCATAAATCTCGTTTTAATCCCTGCTTTCATTGGTACGGATGTTTTTGACCTTGCCTGTGTAAATACACTGCAATATATAGAAAACAAAATAATAAAACCCAGATCTCTTCATCTTAATACTTCAGACATTCTTCTCAGCCATGAAAAAGGGCAGAGGACCAGACAATGTGATAGGCATGGGTTGTATTGCTGGATGCCCTTTTAGAAAATGCTCAGTTGTTATTGAGGCAAGGGTTTAATGTGTGTATACTTGCTGTTACGCCAAAATGGATTATTGTTGTTTTTATTGCATGCATTGTAGTAACTACAGATAGTTGCATTCACAGCTGTGGTAGATGCATGTACAGAAGTAGTCATGCATAAGCACACTCTCATGTAATGTGCAAATAGATATGGCTTAAAAAGAAATTACCTCTTGATGATTAGATAAGGGAGACTTATTGTGCTCTATAACTACCTGAAGGGCAGGTGTAGAGAGGTGGGGGTCGGTCTCGTCTCCCAAGTCTCAGGAGAAAGGACAAGGGGAAATGGCCTCAAGTTGCACCAGGGGAGGTTTAGATTGGATATTAGGAAAAAATTCTTCACAGAAAGGGTTATCCAGCATTGGAATGGGCTGCCTAGGGAAGTGGTTGAGGCACCATCCCTGGAGTCATTCAAAAGATGGGTTGACATGAGCCTCAGGAATATGGTTTAGTGATTTTTTTATTGTTTATTTCTTATTTATTTTTTTGTCAGAGTTAGGTTGATGGTTGGACTAGATGATCTTTAAGGTCCCTTCCAACTTAGACGATTCTATGGTTCTATGATTAGTTGTTGATTTCCAATGATGAGAAGGTACCCTTGTGCCCTGGTGCAGTCGTTAGGCTCTCCAGTAGTGGAATTTGGGTTAGTTGTTTTTTAGCAAAATTTTGGAATGTCTGAAAATGGGCTTTTTATAATGAATGGATAAAACATGTGTGAGCATTTTCTGTGTAGTACAGTTATGTCTTTCCATCTATCTAATGGGAAAAAATCTGTGTGCAAATTTTCAACTGAACTGGCATAGACAATTAGTTATGCCTTTGATTCAGAGCTGGCACTCTTCTAGATGCATCTGATGCTTTCATTCGTTAAGGAAGATTTCCAGCGAACAGCTTTATATCTGCATATTTTAGCAAGTTGAGACATCACTGAAAACAAAGCAGCGAAGAACTGTGTTCTCTAATGCTGGCCCAAGTAAAGTGAGGGTTTAGCTTCAGGCCCCAATGACTATTCTGGCACCTCAGATAGCACTTCCTGTACTTTGGTAATTCCTTTTATTGTTAGGAAGAAACTGACTTCTAAGATTCCACTTACTGTACAAGAGAAACATCTTTGTGATCTTAAAGATAGTCTAAAAGGCTGCCTTTTTTTCCCAAATACATATTTCAAGATCTCAGTGGAGAGCTTTGGTTGTTCTATCTCAGGAAGTGACTGATACCTTAGATAGGGAATTCCTGATGCTACGTAAGTCACTGGCTTTGACACTGGCTGGCAGTAAATAAACTACTGACTAGAGCTGGTGGGTCAATAAGTCAGAAGTTCATTTGGACATGAGGAAATGGAATGAAGATGTATCAGAGTAAGTTCAGATTAGACATTAGGAAAAAGTTCTTCACTGACAGGGTGATCGGTCACTGGAAGAAGCTCCCCAGGCAGGTGGTCACAGCACTAAGCCTGTTGGAGTTTCAGGAGCATCTGAATGATCATTTTAGTCATATTGGTTTAGTTTAGGTAGTCCTGAGAGCAGGGAGTCAGACTTGATGATCCTTATAGGTCCCTCCAGCAACAGATATTCTACAATTTAAGGCTGCAGAGTTTTTGGTGGATTGAACTAGGACTGCAAATTTTAAAACATTTTGTAGCTCATGTCTCATGGTAAGTTGCAGATTTTCAGTCTGTGAATAAATGCACTTGGTGTAGAGGAGAATCTTGGGAAATCTAAGGAAGTAGCATTTTTTTTTCCCCAGAAGGAAAAATTAAGAAAACATAAGGTGAGTGAAACAAAGGATGTGTCTTTTCTCTTTTAAAGGGGAATATGGTTCCTCACTATGTGTCCAGGAATGACACTGGAACAGTACTTTTCATTTCTTTTGTGGGGTAGTTTGTAGGGTGATATGGGGAAACCAATCATTTTGTAGTTTGTTTCTTTGGCTACCTAGTCTGTTCCCCCTGCCCCTTCCTCCTAAGTCTGGAGGATGAGGAGAAGTCTCACTGCTGAAGAAGAGTTGAGGAAGGAGAATTGTCTTTTAATTTTTTTTTTTTAAACATATTTTAATGGATAACCATGAGATCTGAAAGTATTAGCTTCTTCTGCCTAAGCTAAAAGACTAACAGTGTCTGCGTGAGGTCTACCTGCAGAGTGAGGTCTGTGGGAGGTAAGAACTGTCACACTCTGAGCTTGACCTATTTTTCTTATTTGATGAAGAGAACGAGTGAATGTCCTGGGCACCCATCAGCTGCATGACTGAAGAATCGTTTATACTAGAATAGATTTAGCTAAAAAGCATATAGCAACAAATATTTACTTCCTTTAGTTAGCACATTCCTGCCGTATTTAAGAGTTTTCTCCAAGGAGAATATGCAGAGCCATGTGTAAAGGAGCATGAAACTCTTTTTTAACTTAGATTGTTAGTCAGCTCTTCATTTCAAATGCCCTGTTTAGTCCCTAATGGTTAAAAAAATATTTGGTTTGTGTTTTCCTTCTGTAAAAATAATTTCCTGAGGGTTCCCTGGCTCAGAGAAAGACAGTGGATAAATTCAACAGTTTTATACAATCCCCAGAAAGTCAGTTGCCTTGTGAATTTTGCAGGAAGTGTTTGAACATCTTATATATGTAAAGTTTGGAAAGAAAGTCCTGTGAGAACACGATTTAGTGTTTCTAGGTAGGATGAAACTGGCTTCAATGATTTTTGTATTGTAAAAGACAGATTTCTCATCCTTACTCTTCTAGGACAAAACCTTTTCATATTTTTTTATTGATGAGTTATTTTTAAACAACAACAATGTTTTCCCCTTGTTGCATAGAAATTGATTCAGGTTTATGTTGAGGTATATGTACATGCAGGCTTTTAAAATAACTATAATGTTTAAAAAAGGGAAACTTGGGGTTCTAATCACTAATGTTTAGCATGGGTTATAAAATAAAAATCTGCACAATAAAAAATGGCAACAAAAATCTGCACAAAGGCAATATTTATCATCATAAGTTTAATGACATTGATTACTTGCATACAGTTCTTAATTGGCTCATTAAAGGACCCTTGAGATGGCTGTGGTGGAAAACAGGTACAAAGAGTAGGTCCTTATTCTGTCAGGTTTGCTACAAATGGGTTTGTTGGCTGCTTACCCTAGGGGTAACAGGACCCTTCGGGAGCTCGGCTACCCCCACCTCTTGTCCCAGGGCAGCATCGGTTGTACCTGCCAGGACCACCTGTGGAGTATGTCAGAAATCAACGTGATCTTAATAACTGTCACCTTTTTATTTTAAATCTCTATTGGTATTCAATTTACATATTTAGTCCTTGACTTACACCATACTGCAAACTCTTTTCTCCAATAAACTTTATTGACAGTCAGTATTAACATACTTTATGCTCACAGTTACTGCCTGTTTAGTGGATGTGAATGCCTAATGACTTATTTTAATATCGCAACAGCAAAACCCAATTGTATAATTCCCCTCATAACCAGATGACAATAAAATAGGGAGTTTGATAGTTTCCATAGATAATCTGTTTGTAAATAAATCATTAATTTTCAAAAATGCATCCAAAAGAAAGTTGTCTAATTTTATTTTTTTTTCCTAAATTAAAATATCTGTTTGACGGTACTGTGTTCTGTAGGATTTTAAAATATTTGTCCCTGTGAATTTTGCATTAACTCTGCCAACTTTGTGTGAAAATAAGGAATCTCATTATTTTTATAGTCACCTGGAAAATTTCCAGCTCTAAGAGGTTTTTTTTTTTTTTGTAATATATTTATCACTACATGAGAGGAATTCAGGATTTTGAATAAGTTAGACTTTCTCTGACTTAGAAGAATAGAAGCTCTCATGAGACTGGAGCAACTGGCTGGGGTTAACCATGCACCCACTTTCTATTAAGCTGGTTGAAAGAGGGGTAGTGAAATACTGTGCTTGCATTCTACAGTCTAAAGAGTACATTTTTAAAGGCATGATAACTGAATTAAAAAGTGTTTACTTAGCTGAGTTCTGTTTTGTTCAGGAGTTGACGGTCTCATTTGTTTAGCAAGGGGTTAAATAGAAACTAATCCCTTAGGCTTACTTTGAAAGGTGGTTATCTTTCCAGCAAGAGAGAGCATTGTTTGCTTTGCCAGAAACAGTGTAATTGTTCCTTAAACCATTATGTTCTCTAAAAGAATAAACTTACTAGAAAGAGGAGAAATATCATTGGCAGAAGTGTTGTCTTTAAAAGATTCAAAAAATTAATGGAAATGCTTTAATTTATATTTAATGAGCACAGGCATTTTGCATGATGTAAGCTGTATTTAAAGCTTTTTGTGAAGAGATTATTTTATGTGTGACGAGTGATAGAAGTATCATAGGTTATAGGAAACAGAGCAGCAGTGTGGTTGGCTCAAGTTAATTACATTTATTCAGATGAAATACTATTCTACTGTACTCTTCAGGACAAGCAGAAAAAATACTGAAACATTTTTTAGCCAGCATTTATCTATTTCAATTATTTTTGACAGTGTGTGTTGCATGTGTGCTTTAGCTACAGTGCCTTTATATCGACAGTTGGTAGCACAAGCCTTTTAAAGCACAAAGGGTAGCAGTACTTCAGCCAATCTGTGATAAAAGGGAAAAAATGAAATCACTATGGAAACTGCAGGAAGAATCTAAAAGCTTTCTTTATAAAGTAAACGTCTGATGTTTGTGACTGCGGGGGCAAAAAATTCATAAATCTGTACGATGCTATCATTTCTGATTTGTTATCGCAGCAAATGCCAAGTCTAAGCAGTCTGACCTTAGCCTTATTAAGTGCTTTCTTTTCAGATACAGTTATTATTCGACAATAGAGAGACTGCAGTGCTGCAAGGGGGAAAACTAATATATTTAAAGTGTGTGTGTGTGTGCGCGCGCGTCTCTGTGTGCCTGTGTGTGTATATATATATAACTATCCATCTTTTTTTCCCCGTGAAGCTTATGGAGTTGGGAACGTTGCATGTGGGAACTCAGGGACTACTATTCTGAGCACAATTGAGAAAACTATGTTTCGTCCCATTGCATGCGCCTGTCTTTGATCTCAAATTGAAAATCTCTGAGCCTGTTCCTCCAATCCAAAAGCAAATAAATACTGAGAGAAAGAAACCTCTCTCCTCTCAGCACATAGGGCCTCCACGACTGAAAAATGAAGATGACTGTAAGAGCTCTGATGAACCTGTTTGGACAACAGACAGCAACAAATACCTGTCTCGGTGGAGGAGTTTAAGAGCACTGCAGAGATTCTCAGACAGTACAGAATATCTTGGCTCGCACAGGCCACTCTCTTTATCTCAAAACAATACCAGCCAAGCTCCTCTGTACCTACAACTGAAGAGCTGCAGGAACAGGAGGACAGTAGCTAACACAGCTTTTAAATTGAATCTCCTTGTCTTATTAAAAAAAGAAAAAGAAAGAAAAAGAAAAAAAGAAAAAGACATGCATTCTAAGCAAGATGAGGTATCTGGTAAGTATTTTTATTGCATTTGCTTGCTTTAGCTTGAACATTATTTTTAGTTATATGTATCTGCTATAAACAGGATTAGGGCTTGAATGAGTGTGAGTTTTTTGTAAAGTTGTTTAATTATGTAAAAATTTAATGCCTGTTTTTGCATTTCCAACGTTGATAGCTTTTAGATTTCTTCATTTTGTTGCTGTTGCTGTAATTTGTAATTAGCGTGTAAGCTTTGCAAGTTTGATGTTTGAAGATGTTCAAAGGAGCACTGTTGTTCCTAGGTCCTTTGAATATAAATGTGCCCAGTGGTAATACATACTATTGTATATTATATATATATGTATATATACACACAGTAACACGCTTTAGGATTTAATTTGTTTTAGTGTGGCAGTTTTAAAATATACTGATAGTGACCCAAGCCAGGCAAGTACTTTCCAACTAAGTGTTTCAAGCTCTCAAAATAGTGTGGATGTTTTAACTCATATTGAATAAGTTTATATATGAAGATTTAATCTATGACAGATGACAGCATGAAATTATTTGGCTATAAATGTGAGAGGCCAGAAGAATTCTTGATTATATTCAGATTTCATGGTACACTGGTGAATGCTACTATAGTGTGTTCTTACGTTATTAAAAGATTTCAGGTGAACAGTAGCAAAAAAGAGACAGTACAATTCTTGCAAAAGCAGGTCAGTCTTTCAGTAATAAATATAAATCCTAAAAAAGATATAGTTTGACATATTGACTTCATTTCAGCTTTTTATACATATAATGAAAACCAATTATCTGTGGAGAAAATTTGACTTTGTGGAATGGAATTAAATTGCTTTTTAAAGGCTTCCTTAAACAGCACTAGCTGGAGGGAAGTCCAATAACATTTTTAGCTCTGAATTGTAATGACTTTGCTACATTAATAAATCATGTTGTATTCTGACTTTTTATCAAAAGATTCCAAGGAAGAAAACTATGCACGGCAGGTTGAAGCTACAGGGGCAGTCCTGACTGGTTTTTCTCCATCCAGCTACTTTACTTACGGCCCTTTGAAACCAGCAGTTCCTGTGGATCAGGACTTAAAGTGGTAGGTCCAAATCCATCTCGGCTGATGAAAACAATTGATAAATATAAATTCCTGCTAACAAGCAAATTTTCAAACTGGAATATCTGTAATGTAATCTGGCTACTTAAACCACTGTTCTTAAGGAACCAAGGGGAAAAATTCTATTCGTGGTCATTGCATTTTGGGGTGTATTGTTTTGGGGGTTAGGGGTGGTTTTAGGGGTTTTTTGGGGTTGTTTTATGTTCTTTGGGTTTGTTTTTTTAAAACTAGAATAAATAGAAAAAGATATTTCCTTATCTCTTGTCTTGGTATGGAACTGCGTATACAACATTGATTTTAAAAGTAAACTTTTCAAAAAGAGATGGTTTAATTTACTCAACAACGTGTGAATATGCCCTGTTGCTGTAACTCAGATGCTACCAGTTAGCTAGGTAAGTGTTTCGTCTCGGTGTTGAATGGAGGGAGGTTTTGTAAAGTATGTATTTGGGATTCAGAGTCTGAAGCCTTACAAAAAGAAAAGCATTTATTTGAACAGGGGTTTGGTCTCCTGATGTTAGTTCTAAAGTAATTGGGGGAGGAAAAAAAACCAACATATTGTCAACTTCTACTCATTTTTCCCAACAGATCATGTATCAAAAGTGTAATCTGCAAGAGCAACATGAACTGGTGAAATGTACCTCTGATGCTGGTTTCCTATGTTATTTTGTAGAATTTTTGTAATTATCTTGCTGAGTCGTAATCCCTGACATTTGCTTTCACAAAGCATCTAGTGGAGAATGCAATACCCTAATTATGTTTCTGTGAAAGAGTTGAGGGGAAAAAAAAGTTGCGCTCTTTAGCACAGCATTTTAAAGAAAAGCTGTTTCATGAATAGTATATATATCAAATTTTGCGAAGGCTAGGGATACTTTACCAACTGTAGTTCCTGGTTGTTTTATATCACAGTATATCAACATAGTTGAACATATGTTAATCGTAAGTTCTTTTCTAAACTGCGTGCTGTACTTGCCTACATCCTAAGCAAAATAGGCACTGGCTCCAGCCTAAATATTTTTCTATATTTATGTTTGCTATCTTATGTTTTTAAGTATTTTCTGAGATGGATAAGTATTTTCTGAGATAGTTACCACATTTTAAATAAATATCTTTTGTTTAAAAAAAAATCCGTGCTTTCTCATATGACGTTTTACAGTAGCTTTTATATTAAAGAAATGAAGATCAAGAATAACAGTGAGTTTGAATTGCAGCTTATAAAGATCTCCTCATGTTCTATTCTTTTATATAGGGAACTAGACGCAAACAATGTGAAGTTGTAAAACTGATTTTTGATCACAGGGAGAGCTCACTCTTTATAGATGGGTTTGTCTACAAACTGAGGCAAAAGGTTAATTGAGGTTACATAGTTGAATACATTATGTCCATTTTACCTCTGTAACACAGTTAGTTACTGAAACACTGGGCTTTTATTATATATGCTATGAATAATTTCTGAATACAAAAGTATTTACTAAAGAATCATTAAAATGGAATCTCCAAAGGAAAATGGATACATGATACCGGTATGTGGCTTTGTTCACCAAAGTGGGGCTACGTGGTTTAGCTGAAAGAAATGACTCCAGCAGTCTGTTCTCAAGCAAATTTCTCAGACGCACGGTTGTTATACATGGCTTTCTTTATGCTCTCCTTTTGGGAAATCAATTCAAACTGTTCAAATATCCTACGGTATGTGAGACTAGTTATCCAATGTTGTGCCCATAATGCCTGCTTTTATTAGATGAGTTACAATTTGAAAAGAAAAAAAAGGTAAAAAAGCCTTTCTTTTCCTCCCCCTTAGCTGCCCTCTTTTACTTCCCCCTCTGTGATTGTGTGGTTTTTGTTGTTTCAAAAAAAACCAAAAAACAACAAAAAAGCCCCAACAGTAGTGCAAATCAGTATAAACAAACATCACCCTTTACAAAAATCCCATAATTTGTACTTTATAGCAAGGCATCAATTACCGGTGACTTGGGGTAGACTTGGTTAGGAAGAGTGGCCATCTTCTCTTTCAAAGGTGACCTCCAGAGAGTGCAGAAAGTCTTTGGGCAGAAAACATCTCTCCACTCTGGTGTCAAAACCTGATGAAAGTTTTTTACCTCATGGATGTGGCCTGATGATTGCTCCATTCAAAGCAGGGAGGGTTTCTGAGGAAGCAAGTGCCAGCTTCTCTGTCTTCCCATATGGTGCTCAGCTCTGACATGATCTCACTGCAGAATGTTGTTATTTCATCCTCCCATAAACTTTTTTAATGCTGTGTTGTTTGTGAATGGTGTGCCTGTTTGTGTAGATCCCGAGCCAGTAGCCGTTGAGGATGTACCAGGATAACTCGGCGCTGGAAGTCGTGTGGGAGGCTTGGTTCAGGGTGAAATGTCCCAGAGTATTACCTTGAGTGAGGCCTAACCAGAGGCTGAAATCAAATATGACTGTGCTCAGGAGCTTGTCACGTGGTCCTCGGCGGCACTTCAGACCACTCTTTCCACAGTGCAGTATCAGTGGTCTCCATTTTACAGTGGTATACGGGTGCTGGGTGGGGTAGACATTTACAGGCAGTAACATGTACTCCACAGCCCTTTGGTGTTATGACTTCATGGCCGCATTGTCACCTGCAAGGGACTGGCACAGCTCCTCCACGCTCTGCATTAACAGCAGAGGACCTGCCTGGCATAAATTTCCCCAGAAATTTTTAATTCAATTTATTGGCAACAGTTTGTTACCAGTTTGCTCAAAACAGAAGGGAAACCAGTGCAGAATGGTTCAGAATTTGTAATAAATGCATCTTTTTATGTACTAACACTATTAATTTGTAAATATATTTATAATCAAAAGCTTTTTTTCCTACATAGTGCTATGCATTTACATACGCTGATGACAAAAAGTACAGTGCAATGGATGTCTCTGTCCTTAGGACTGATTTTCCAAATGACATGAATAAGGTACTCCGGAATTAAACAGCAACAGGGTTTGTGAATGTAGAATCTTGGTTCTTTAAAACACATCGGGTAGTCTAGAGGTATTCTGCCACACAGGGTGTGTAACACTGAATGGCACTGATTTGCTTTCCTGTTTGTCTGCTTCTTTCCTCGCTGCACTGGAAGAATTTTGAAAGGCGCTGGACGGCTGGGATTTTTGTAGGAGTGTAATTAAATTCTCAAACATGTAGAAAAGTTTGCTTTGAAATGCTATAAAGTGACTATTGGGAACTTTCAAAACAAGTCACATGCAGTGTTTTTTAACACGTTGCTTTGAAGTTGTTGATAAAATGATTATTTATGTAATGGGTAGGGCAGCTTCTCTGAGTTGGATAGGTTCTGCCAGGTTAAAATACTGTTTTTCATGTCATGTCTCTAATTTGCACTAGTCTTAGCAGTCTGACTATTTTTTTTAAACCCTGCATTTTTATAAATCTGATTTTATGGCCTTGTGAAAAGTTTTCTTGTAATCTTCTACCTTTACACCTTAAAAGTGCCTTAAAATAATCCAACCCACTCACCCTAATGGAAGTATACCCATGCACATACTCATCCTACTCCAACCGGCTTGAAATGAAGTTAAGACCCACTTAAACAGAAAAAGGGAAAAACGTATTTTAAAGCTGAAGTCTACAGCTGGGCTGAACTTATACAATATTTATACAGAATGCAGAATCATTAGCTTTTCATATAATAACACATTACTTCCTAAAAGTCAAACACAGAGCATAAATGTCAGGATATTTTCTCTAACAGCTTCATTGACTGTGTCTTTGTGAATAAATTCTTAAGCTCCATGACATATAAAATGAAAAACCTCCTTTTGTGCAAGTAAAATCTCCTTATCGAAATATAAAATTGCTGCAAGACTGAAATGAGTATTTGCTGCATCTTATGCCAACTAATGGGCTAACCGTCTACTTGCTCTAGCTCAGTTTTCTGTCGGAGACGCTAACTTAATTTCCAGTCAACGCTGAAAACTGATTTCTGGTGGAAAAACTGCTGATGCATTTGCACTAAATTGCTCTGTTTCTTAATAACTAGAATATTTGAGCAAAGATGCATGGTAGCTATTAAAACTGTTTTATTTCCTCACGAATTATGAGAATTTGGCAGAAGGCAGAGCAGGAATTGTTTACCTTACAGAATTGGAATCCTGTTTTACTCCTGAAGTGTGCTATTGCTCTGTGGTCCAACACCAGACTAAAAGAGATTTCAAAATGAAAATCAATACTCCTAAATTTGCATAGGATTACTACCTATGTACGTGAAACCAAAAACATTTTTCTTAACAAAATCAGAACAATTTCCTGATTATTTTTTTTTCCCTTGCCTGCCCCTCCCTCTTCAGAGCAAAAGGAGATCTTTGTAAAAAGTAAAGCGCTAGCAAATAAAGAGTTAAACTGAAGGCAGGCTCACTGGTTTGTTGAGATCTGTCAGAGTCTGAGTGGCTGGCTACATATCTGTCTCAGGAACAATAGCTACCTGTATTCTGCACGGACTGCTGGGCAGGCACTAGCAATCTGGAGAAGGTCTGCCTCTGTTAGAGGCTTTTTAGTGGGAATCCCTAATGACAGCCCTACTTCTCATTGGGAGGGTGAGGAGGGGAGGGGGGAGAGAAATCTTGTCTACTCTGTTGATGAGGGACAGAGCTTTGATCATTTTCATTCAGCCTTGACTTGGCCTGAGGTTTAGGTTCCCAGTCCTGAAGTCAGCAGGCTCTCGTTTCTCACACACGCACGCACACACACACACGCACACACACAGACACTCACACGCACCCCTTTGCTGGTCTGTGCAGGCAGATTAGTGTCACGGCTGTAACTGAGGCACAGAGCAATAAACATAGCAGAACCAATCTCCATGGTGGCAAGAGGGGGCACTGGAGGTGACAACAATGGAGAAGGATCTTTCTTCTGACAAGTTTTAGGTAAGAGAGAATATTTATACCCTCAGCCAAGTATTTTATAGCCTTCTAAATAAGTTAGAAATTGTTAGGTTGCAAACGTGCCTTGTTATAGAATATTTTAGTTTACTGCCGTATCCAGGCTGTTACTAGCTTTAAATCTGTAATTGCCATGCTTTGTGTTACGAGAATGTTTGCAGAAAGCAGGCAGGGTTTTTCCAGGGAAGTGGTGGCTACTATAGTTACGTTCCTGAAAATATAATGTTTCTAACATTTGCATTTTTAAAATTAACCGTGAAGCTTCATTTTGGCTATGTTAAAATTATGCTTAGATATAATAAATATCCATATCTGATAAAATGTCGTGTAGCTGATAGCACATGCAATATTTAAACAGTGCTCCCTCAACCCTAATTTGTAATTATTTTTACACCCTTAACTACACTGGGGTCAGAGAGTTTTAAAAATTAATGAGGTTCCCTGCTGAGTTCAAATAGTATAATCTACATGAGTTGTTGCTGCAGAGGGCTGAAATTATTTCTGCGTGTTTTTAATGTAGGTGTAGAATTTTTGTTTCAATATATTGCTTTCAAACGCTTTACTTTAAATGCCAGTTTATGCAACCTGCAGTATGAAGAGAATGAAGATCCATTTTTAATAATGACAAATTGAGTGTGGGAAATACAGGGTGTACAGTGACAATACAACACATACATTTTGCTGGATATGTTTTCTGATTTCATGTGTTAGAACGGTGTTAGATTCCAGCAGCTGTGATCAGCTTCACCTATTTACAAATAACTACTGCTCTAGGGAGAGGCAAAACAGCAATACCTAATGCTTTGTGTGCGATTGGAGTACTAAGTTACTGATGCGTTTAGAATGTTAAAAAGAATTGGTGGAGCACTCAAAAATATATATAATAGAGAATCGCTACAGTGCGAAAAGAGGCAGTAAAAATGAAATAATGTCCTATCCCTTTTCCTGGAAACGCTAGACAGATAGTATCAGCAGCGCTCCTGGAAAGTAGAATTTGCTGAATATCCTCAAATGGAAGGACTGGAAAGGAAAGGGGGAGGGAGCTGTTTACTATGAAATTTCCATATCGAAATAATGAGAAAGTTTCATACTGCAGTATGTAAGGCACTGTTTATCATTTATTATAAACTGCAGTGCATTATGTTTAAACGGTAAGCATTTTAAAGCTCAATATAGTGTAATCAGCGCTAAAGATGCGTTATACTCAGTCTTCCATTTGCAAGACCCACTCTGAGCTTCCTGTGATATATTGTTATGTAAATATAGTGCAGCGAGGGAAAGCAGCACTATGGAGATTCAATTTACTTTGAAAGTTGTTCATTATGGAAGGGATGAATGTTATTTATTTGATGTGAATCAAAGGCTAGAAATGAC